ACTGAAAATATACGAGATTGCATGATTTGAGAAACGATCGTTGTTAACTCCCTGCCAAAATGACCGCTATCGGAAGTAATCCGGAAGATCTGGGATTTATTCTTTCTTACAGCGAGGACCTTGACCTTTGGATTGGTTTAAATTTTCCTTTTCCCGTGAAGATTAAAGAACTTGTTGGATAACCAGAGTTAATCCCTGGTTTTCTTTGTCACGGATCCCCGGAAGCAACGGTTTCGGCACGAGGGCGCGACGTCGATTCGCGAAATTTAACAAAAAAAGAAGAGAAGATTTTATGTGTATATCCTTCTCCATAAATATTCTCCCATTAACACTACTAATGGAAGAATAATTTTTATTTCAATAAAACTGAAAATATACGAGATTGCATGATTTGAGAAACGATCGTCGTTAACTCCCTGCCGAAATGACCGCTATCGGAGGTAATCCGGAAGATCTGGGATTCATTCTTTTCTGCAGCAGGGCCTTTAATTTTCTTTTACACTCTTTTAATCTGATGAAACTCTATTGCTCATATTACGATATGTTGAATTCACTTTCCATCTTGAGTTGTTGCAAAAATTACACAAAATATGGCTTGGCAAATATAGTCTTGCTGTATTTGTCGAGCAAATCTTTTGTAACCTATCCATTTATTTTTCATATTATCTATATTTAATTTGATTGTATAATATCTATTGTCAAGATGCGTATCGCATGAACGACATGCACTATTACATGCATCTTCGCGGTCGGTTTACGCGGTCGGTTTTCGCGGTCGGTTTTTCAGGAAAAAATTTTAATTAATTATTAATTACTTAATTATACCCATATTATAAATTTTAATTTATCGAGGAATATGATTAAAATCACTCTAACGCGAAGTAACTTTTTTTCTATATCTATTCGAATTTTGAATTCAAAGATCATTTTACGAAGAAATGGTCAATATGTTTAAATAAATAACGGAAGTAAAAATAAATTTGATTCGTAAGTAACATTCGTAAATTACATACTGTAAAGTTTTTTTAATTAATATTTTTCTTTTAATTAACTTCTCGTGGTCGTGCATCTTGCGATACGATCGTCACTCGTATATGTATTCAAACCGTACGAAATATTTGTCGGTGACGATAACCGACTATGGAAGGAGTTTTCTTCCTTCCTGATCTCTGGTCAAAATGACCAGACTGTATGGCCAGGAGCAACGAAAGGTATGTCCAATCTGGCCCAACGAAGGAAGACTAGATACGACGAGGTAAATGGTCAATATTGGCCACTCTGATAGAGTACCTAAGTAAGGTGCTGTACGAAGTATGCTTTGATTTCTTTTGATTTGTTACAATTCGGGTGGGTTATACTTCTATATAGATACATTCTCGCGAGAGTGCGAGAGTGAAACCCCTATTAAATCCCGCGGGCGCGTTAAACTCTAAACCTCTAGAAAATCGCATCGCGATTAATTAGTTTTGTAGGTTCCATTATGTTGAAACACGAGTAGGTAGGTCTATAAATCGGAATACGGGTAGGTAGGGATTCGGATAGTCAGGGATAGGGGAACATAATTCGATAGGTTAAAAAATTAGGTAACACAAATTAACGAAGTAACCAATAACTTTAATATAATAAGTACGTAAAAAGAATTTCGTGTTATTGTACGTATACCGAATATTTCATATACATATAACGTCGAGAGAAATGTTGTAGGTATTGTACAGATATTTTATTTTTAAATTTATAATGTCATTATGTTTTTATAATATTGTAAGTGTATTGTAAAGTAAGTTATAAGAAAAATGAAATAAATAATAAAAATGTAAGAAATCAAATTGTAAAGAAAAGAGGACCGTCGATTTCCTAATTGTTCTCATTGTTGATAATTGTTAGTATTCTTTGAATAAATTCGCTACTCACACGAATCAATTACCAAAATTTAGTAAATTTTTAATTTTTTTCGTTTTTTATATAAAGTCGACCAGCATAGTCTAGATTTTGCGGCGTACTTTAATTCTGTAAAAGAGTTTTGCATTTCTATAAAGCCGATTAAAAGATTACTTCTACCAAGGAATGTCAATGAAACACACGGATTTAAGATCCCCTTAATATCACTTTTCGTCGTGCATCGGTGCGAGGCGTTTCTCAAATCGAAATGCAAGACCACGTCGCTGAGCGGGACGCTCTCACGTGTGAGATTAATCGTCGGTAAGAGTTAATCGTCGTGCATTGGCGAGGATCGCGGTGGAAACGGATTTATGACGTAAGTAAGCGTTCATTAGCATTACATCGCGCGATGCTCTCGCCTCGGTGTAACTCCGATCCGGCGACCGGGCCGTGTCCCAGGCTCGATCTCCGTCGGCGATTAGTCAGGAGAGAGATCTCGCGGATGCGTGCTGGGTACACGCTTCTACGCGCTCGTGAATATCCCTCGTGGATACACCGTACGTGCCGGAGAAGGCGCGCTCGCGAGAGAAGAGGGTCGCCGGCCGAGGAGGCCAGGGGCCCACGGGGTTGCAGTCCTATTCGTTAGACCGAGTCTATGTCCGATGCCTGAATTAAATTATTGCGCTCTCACGCGACCCCGTGAAGGATACAAAGGGAGGTTTGCGGCGCGGGACCCGCGGAAAATTATGCGCGCACCTAGAGCCCGGAGTAAGCGACCGGCTAATGGACAGGTGCATAATTTTATGCGGATTCTTTATTTCCACCGCGCGCACGGTGGTCCGTGCGGGGCGGATTCGACTGCCTTTCCGCCAGGAAAGAGAGAGAGAGAGAGGGGGGGGGCGGGGGCGGGAGGGATGAAGGGACGCAAAGATAGATCTTTGATTTCAAATTAAATTACCGCCGGCCCCGCGGCGACTTGCAAACACATTCGATGGATGTTTCTCGCGTACGTGCCGCGCGCCGGGCACGTAGGACTCTATGGGGAGAAGGATACACTCGCGACGATGGTAATTTCAACGTGGCGAGCCGACGTCGAGTGAATTAGAGGCGGCGACTGAAAATACTCCTCTCGCTCCTCGCGCCCCTCGGTGCTTTTCTACCCCGAGGTGTTAATTACGGGCGTGACCGCCCGCCGATTAGCGCGAGCCTCGTCGCGCGCGGGCGCGCGCGTAGATTTTTTTTCATCGCCGTCTCGCCGCGCAATATGGGAAGATGGCGTTTTCCGCAAAGCGCCCATTACACGCGTTCGTGGATTATTAGCGAGCGGGCAGAGCACTATTAGCCGGCTATCTGCCCGAGCATCTATGCCGCGCCAACGTCTTCAGCGGGACCTGTCAATTACACAGATTTATGATTTCTCCTCCCACTCGCTTCGTCTCGCTCGCTCTCGCCCCGTGTGTGCCCTCCCCCTCCCCCCCCCCTACCCCCGCGCGTTCTTCGGCGCATTCTCGCGCCGAGCGCGTAACGCACGTCGATGCGCGCGCCGGCCCGGAGGGTCCCGCGGTGGATGCAAAGGGGTACCCGCCTGAAATAGCAAGTAATTTTTGATCGATGGCCACCTTTAATTGCGACCGACTTAATTACAGATAAATACCCTCGCCGGTCGATTTATCCCGGCGCTTCGCGTTTCAAGCGCCTATCAATTCCCCCGGCGCGTCCTGATTAACCCCACGGAGATCCCACGATATGCCACGCGGCACCGTTTCACGAGCGTGAACCTTGCCCGTATCGACACTCCTCTTTTTTTCTTTCCCCTTTCGGACGCACAATAGTACTGTTAGGCTCTTGGCCCCGCGCGAGGCAACACTCATTCACCGGGATTTCCTAACGTCCGTCGCTTCCTGCTCGCGGTTGCACGACTCGGCCCTTCTCCCGCATTCGCGAGATACAATCGCGGCTCGATACGCAGTTTCCTTCCCAGCTCGGCTGTAATTCCGAAGCGAAAGGGTTAATTACGCGCGTCGCGAGGAGCTGCGAAGTTAATCAATTAATTAACGTCCTGTTTGTGCATTCATCGCGGCATGATCGACGCGCGTGTCTAATAAACGAGCGTAACGTTCCCGAGCAGAACAAGAAGTCGCGAGGAAGTCAGAAAATGATATCAAAGCGATCGTCAATGGTAATTTTTCGGGCGTGATAGAAAATCGATCAAATCATGACTTGGACATTGAGAGGTGCCGTTTCAACAGAACGAAAAGTCACTTAAAAGTCGAGGTAAGTCGAAAAGTAATCATTTCTAGCAAGTCAAACTGATGCATTATTTAACGCTTTTAATGAAACACGAGTTGACTTTTGTTATGAGTATATTTTGACTTTTCGACGATTCTCGCCGAGAGAACGCAAATCACTCATGCATGCGAAATGATAAAAATCTCTAGTCAGTGGTAAAATTAAATAAATATGCAGAGCTTGTAGTCGACCGCCGTTGTAAAATAAACTATTCAAATCTTGCCAGTCTGGTCGACTACAAGCTCTGCATTTTTATGAATAAAATCTCTGTCTACGGTTCGCGATAATTTCAACTTGGATTACTTAATAGTTTATTTTGTAAAATGAACCATTCAAATCTTGCCAGTCCGGTCGACTACAAGCTCTGCATTTTTATTGAAATGTCTGTCTGCGGTTCGCGATAATTTGAACTTGGATATTTATTTTGTAAAATAAACCATTCAAATCTTGCCAGTCTGGTCGACTACAAGCTCTGCATTTTTATTAAAATCTCTGTCTACGGTTCGCGAGAATTTCAACTTGAATTATTTTCGATACTCATCATTGTACGTTAGGACTTAAATATGGTAATAAATAATAATATAAAATGTTTCTTTTCACAAAAATAATACTATGATAGAAATATGATAAAGTGCGTGCCTTTTAAGATTTGTACTCTTAAGTTTTTATTTTGTATCTTGTGAACGGAGCATCGGGTTATCAATGCTTCAAAAGTTAAACATCTATAAAATACAGTAATATCTGCGAGATTTTAATCATTTCGCATGCACGAGCGACTTGCGTTCTCTCGGCGAAAGTCACCAAAAGGTCAAAATATTTAATTTTTGAAGCATATATACCTTTTTTGTCTCGCTTTGTCTACTCTGAATTCTGCGTCCATAGAATGTTATAAATTTAATATATTTATTCCAATAAGAGTGCGAAGCGATACACAAACACATAACATTATCTGGGAATAAACTTATTTTATACAAATCTATGCTGTTTTGCGCTAATAATCTATCGATAACAGTTAATAGTTTGTTTTCATTATCACATATCGCCAATGTTTACAGTAATGTCACTTTATTAATAATTTATGACTTATACAAAATATACTTCACTTATTCTTTAATCAAAACAGATGCATCATATCACATTCTGTAACAACCTCAAAGTTCTAGGTGATTTATGGTGCTACGTCGGGAAACAATTGGTAAAATCTATTATAAGTTACATTGTTACCAATTTCAATGACCAGTTTGGAAACATTTTCTTCTATTAACGGCTTAATTTTTCTCAAAATTTCCTTTTCGTTTTCACTTACTGTATGCCTAATAGCTTGATGTAGTTGAACCAAGTTCTTTTCATTGTCGTCGAACTCATACGTAAAGTTTTTATCTAGAATATCAAAATTCGTATTTGCCTTTGATACATATATTTCTGTTTTACCATTCTGGGTTACTTCTTTAAACTGTACGCTTAGTTTTCCATTTACGTTATCTGTAAAAAAACAACATAGGTTGATAATTACAATGAAATGAGAACAAGTTTCTATAATAAAATAAATAGTTCTAAGTTTTTATCTTATTTTAATGTAAAATTGACTATTTTACATACCTACAGAGATGTGAGCTATTCCCTTGTTAGCAAGTGACACCAATAAACGTATGTCAATGTCATATACGGTGTCCATATTAAGATGTTTAAGTAAGAAAGTAAAATCGATGTAAAACTTGTCAGGGCTTATATTAAAAGATAGTACATCAAAATTGCAAACTCCAAATATTTTTGTGTCTTGGAAAAATAATTTAAGATTATTTGTATCGTAAATAACCATTTTGTCAACAATTACTGGCTCTACAGGAGAAACGTTTAATTCTGGTATCCCCGAACAAAACTGGGCCTTCATATTGTTGATATTGTCCAGGAAGCATTGATCATAGTTGGGATCTTTGCGACCACACACATGAACGTAGGAAGCTATAAAGAAATAAATCATATAATTGTAAGATCAAATAAGCTGGGATACAATAATTATTTAAAAATTTTAAAAATATTTTCGTAATTGAAATAATAACATTCCTAGCATTTATTTACAATTAATTATTTTAATATTTAAAAAGTTATTATTAAGTTGTATACGTATTATATATTTTTAATAATATAACTGTCAAAATTTTGAGTTACATAAAACTTATAATAGATGAAGTTAAATAGAATCGTTAAATGAAGCAAACATACTAAAAATTTCGTAAATATGTTTTAGCGAGATTTAGCGAGAATTTCTCTTATATAATTAATTTCTAATTACATGACATATTTATGAGAATAATACAAAGTAATAAAGGATGTAAGAACCAAGGCGGGATGTTAGTGTCTAAAGGATTTTTATTTTTAAATTTAGTGCGAAACATTTACCTCAGCCAGGATTTGAATCTGGACCTCCCTCACTCTAATTTAAGCGCGCGTCTCACCCATTCGATCACCAAGACATGTGGCAATGTTTGTCGCAATAAACAGTCTATTTAAAGATGTTTTACGAAAGTCACATATCGTAACTAATTTCGACAATAATGAATATTCATATTTAGAACGTCGTCGTAAAGTAAAAGATATTAAACTTAACGAATCTACACTGCGCAACAAAATTAACGCAACAAAAATGTGTACTAAAATTTCACTCAACTTCAAATAATCGTAACTTCGCGAAAACTTATCGCATTTGAAATTTTTTTTTATTTTAAAGCTAGAAATTTCTACATATCTTTGTTCCCCTTATCGCGATCTCTTTAAAAATAACGACGTGTTTTGTCTGCAAAACTTTTCATAGTTTGACGCGCTTCACGGGGTGCGATGAATTTTTTTCGCAAGTTCTATAAGAACCATTGTAAAATATGAACTTTCCCCTACAAATTAAAAAAAATTGAAGTCTGTACGATTTCTTTCGCGGAGTTATGATGTATCAAAGCTACCTTATGATGTACCAAAGTTACGGTTTTTATGATGTATCAAAGTTACCTATGCATTTAGTCTATTTATGCCATTAATTATGCAAATAATGCAAATAAATTAAAGAGCATTTTCATTTAAACACACATGAGTGAGTGAGAGAGAGGGGGAGAAGCACTTGAATACATACGTGTGCGCGCGCAATAAACAATAATTAGTTACACCATGAATTTATTGCACTTGGAGTGAAATTTCTGTTTAGTGGAAAATTGATTGTTAGATCGTGTAATGGTTGCAAAAAAGATTTGTGATTGAGTTTGAACGTTGAAAACCTGCTATCCCGTATTAGAATCCTATCTCATAATAGAGGACTCTCTTCTATATATTATCCAAATGCAATTGTAACAAATATTTTCATTTACTTACGTAATTTCGATGGTGATACGTATGGTATCACAACGAAAACAGCAAAAAGTGCAGCAAACATCTTGTACACGAAAGAATTTTCTTGTAAAATAAACGAATGCTTTTGCACCTTTTAAAACCACACACTAACGAGTGTTGTTGTAATGGATGTCCAGCAAATATAAAAGAAGATCAACATGGATTCGATCTTATATATGCTGTAGAATCCCTCTATTTATTTTAAAACATCCTCTTAATTCTCTCACATATATAAAATAACACGTATATAGAGTAAAAATGTCATTGTGCATGTCTGTGTTTTATTCGTTTTATTTCGAATGTCATCAGAACGTAATGTTGCGCAAAAAAAGAATTAATTAGCCGTTTCACTAATTCTATAAAAAACCCGAAAAGTAATGATTCGAGCAAATCCTACATCGACTTAATAACCGGTTCTTATATTTGGCCAAGAAATTATAACTCGTTTAAAAGAATTGACCTTTAGGAACAAATAATGTCCAATAGGTATATGGTACAAAATAAATAAATTTTCGATTATCTGCCGGAATTATAGATTCAGATAGTATGTATTATACATATCGGTTCTTATTTACTTCTTAAATCTAAAATTCTTACTAAATGAGTTTTCGTAAACATACTTTTCAACAGACTTTTCGTAATTTTTCTAAAGATAATTGAACATAGCTGTTTATTCTATCCATAAAAGCACATTACTTAGACAGACCTGATACATTTTTATGAAAATTGGCTTTTGATTAAATTGACATTGATATGTGTTATTCTTCTTAACTCAATGATAATATAATAAGTGTCTATGGACACAATCTCTTAAATCTAAAATTCTTACTAAATGATTTTTCGTAAAACATACTTTTCAATAGACTTTTCCCCTCAATTCTTACTTTTATATCAATGCACATGCGTAAACTGAAAATGTCATCTTATACTCCCTTTCATGTGTTTTATTTGCTCCTATATGGCCGAATGATCATACAGTAAATTTAAAGTGGGACAGCATGTCAAAGGGGAACCAATTTTTATTTTGTGGAACAAGTTTAAAACTACGCAGAATTCAGTATAAATTTATACTGGCTAGGCCGGTTTTTAAAAATACACATATATTTGTTTACCATCAATTTCTTGACCTTTTCCTCCAGTAATATTTCATTCATTCTAAGAGTTTGCGACCAACATTCCAAAAGTATTTAAATAATGTCCATTATTATATTAAATAAATTTTACGAGTAATAAATGAAAAATCAAAATCGCACTTTAAAGTAGGAGTAAAATTTGTTCTTGCATTTCGACCTCTTTTGCTGCCTTAGGTCCTACTTAATAGAATTAAAGGTTCAACATAGGGCAAAAATTTCGACTCGGGCCGTTTACGAGAAACAAAATGAAAACTCAAGAGTACAAATCTTTAAAAAAATCAAATCGTGTCTCGTTAAAAGTGTTAAACGATACATTATCTTGACTTTCTGGAAATTATTACCTTTCGATGTCATCTTGACTTTTAAGTGGCTTTTCGTTCGGGATTGCCTGCCGCGGCGATGATAATTAGCGCTTCTCTCTTTCCCCTCTGCCGCCAGACACAGGCGGAACGGTCAGAGGAGCTGTGCGAGGTGTAAGGGCATCCGATACTTTTTCGCGTGGATCCCTCGCGATCGAACGTAATCGGAGACGGATGAATACGGACGCTGTCGATGCGCTCGTAAATTAAATCGCGATTCGCGCACGCTTCCCAGATCTCGGGTGATCGCGGGTCAGCGATCATCCTGCTGAATTAACCCGCACCGTAGGGCCCGTCATAGATCGCGCGTCGTACCCACGATCGTAACTGTACTCGGGTTGGCGGCGATACGGCCATTTGCATAAGTACGTTTGCCCAAGAGTGGTGTGCACGATGCGTGCGCGCCGAGATTACCGGTAATTAACGGAATCGCCGAATCGCGCGGCGGTTAAACGCGGTTCTAACTGCGAGAGATTAAGAGCCGCCGCGCGAAGGACGTTGATAATTCCCTTCGCGAAGACATCTCTTTTTGTCGATTCGCGGCGCTCCGATCGCCGCTCGCGAAATAAGTTCTTACACACGGAGGGAATTTGCTCTTAAAGTTTGCCCTGAAATTAATTAAAAGTCTAGTAAGATCAAAATTCAAACAAATTTGTTTAAACTTTTTTTCTGGGTGTAGTAAAATGTATACAAAGTGTAATTACTAGAAAAATGTATGGTAAAATTTCAAGAAACCGTCATAAAATTCTTCGAAATGCGATGTTGTCCCACGATTACGTGACTTTTACGATAAATTTTATGAAAAAAATTCTCTTCGTGGGTGGAATTCCTTTCGCCCTCGTCCGCTCGATTGTACATCACTTTGGGCCTGACAGAGAGCCGCGTTAAAGTGCGGTCGCGCGACCGGCTGATGATTCAAAGCTCGTGTCGCTGATCGATTACAATCGCGTGTTTCTCGGCACTGAAATTGACGCTCGAAATGCAATAAAATACGAGCGGCGGTTCGAGAGGCGTGAAAATAACGATGAATAAATGTGATAAAACGGTTACATGCGTTCGCGCGATCGGTCACTCTCTACGTAGAAGCTCGCCAGTCCGTTTTGCATTGATTTATACGTACGAACTAACGAGCCACTTTTCGACGACAACGGTTCATTAATAATCGAATCGGCCGACGGTATTGCACCACGACGCTCCATGTTCCGGTAGATCAGTTTAATGAGGAGCGCACACCGAGAAAGAGAGAGAGAGGGGGGGGGAGGGAAGGAGGACGAGTAGCACGGGTGTTGTCGATTTTTATCAACCGATGACAAATCGATAATCCTCACGCCATCTTACGTTAGACCGGTTCTGTGGGGCCGGCCAGACCTTTCTGTACCTTTATGGTCCGCCTGCTTTTAATTAATCCCTCGTGCCTCGATCGACCCGATGCTTCGTAAAAAATGTTCAAGTGCGAAGGAAGGCAGAAAGAGATAGAAAAGGAGTAAGAGAGAGAGAGAGAGAGAGAGAGAGAGAGAGAGAGAGAGAGAGAGAGAGAGAGAGAGAGAATCGTTGAATCCTTGGGTGCCTCACGAGATGTCTGTTAGTTTTCATCTCAATGGGCATCTGGGGGAAGAGAGAGGGAAAGGGAGTCTACGATCGCGCGTGTACAAGCGATTTCTGCATACCGAGGAATTCAACGATCATCCGCGTTATAGTCTCGAGTCTCTGGGACTTGGCAGTCGCGAACCGGTCGGCGCGGTCTTATCGAATTGGTATATCGCTAAAATTACGAAACTTTGTTAAGTAATCGTTTACGCGCGTTCGCGCGTTGGATTTTATTCGCGTAATCCGACGAGGCCGGCATTAATGCGGAAAACCGCCGGGAGTAAGTTATTAACTGAGCTCACTGCGAGCCACGCGGCGTCTCGCGTGCCAAGTTTGAGGGAGTCGTCGCGAGTCCGTTGTTGTCCCGGTATGCAGAGTATCGCCCATCGCGATAGGCTTAGGAGTGGGTGACCTTAAAGGATGTCGATCTCCCAGTCGGCATAACTGTACCACCGTTCCCGAAGGCGTCCGAAGGCGAGGCTACGTTCGTTAACAGGTGTTAGACGCCTGCGCGTGTCGCCAGTTATCTTTCCAACTGCGTGTCCAAGAGCACAAGTGCTTTCTCTCTCTGTCTCTCTCTTTAAGAGAAAGACAGACGCGCGCGGATGACGT